AATACTAAATAACATTATTTAATAAACTAGTCGGCCGAGGGGACAGCACCCTGGACTTGTGATCCTGTGGTCCCGGGTTCGATCCCGGGCGCCGGTGAGAAACAATGGGCAGAGTTTCTTTCACCCTATGTCCCTGTTACCTAGCAGTAAAATAAGGTACGTGGGTGTTAGTCAGCTGTCACGGGCTGCTTCCTGGGGGGTGGAGGCCTGGTCTAGGACCGGGCCACGGGGACACTAAAGCCCCGAAATCGCCTCAAGATAACCTCAAGTCCCAATCTAATGCAGAGTTTTCTTCCAAGCCGAGAACCATGACATGTGCGGCTCATATATTAGCCTCCACCACCACTGTTGTACAGCACAAGAATGTCTTCCAATATTCCTGAGTGGATGAAGTGATTACAGAGGTCAACGTACGTCATACCATTTGCTCTGAAGTCACTGATAACATGGCACTCACAGATATAGTGTTGGAAGGGAAGGGAACTATCAGAAGCAAACGTCAAGTCATTATGAATATATATTGGGGATGTAACAGGGGGGGGGGGAGGAATAGTGCCCAAGCACTTGGACGATCGGGGATTGAACGCTGACCTGCATGAAGCGAGACCGTTGCTCTACCGTCCACCCTTAAGTATTGTTGGAGAGTGTAATTACTTAATTGTAATTACAGGAGGAGAGGTACGCTCGTGGTGTCCCATCTTCCAAGTGCTCTTTATCGTATAACACTTTGAAACTACTGTGTCCTAGTTCTTGTTCACATATTTTATAATTGGAATGATCACCATTTAAAAGGTCAGATGTAACACAAACAAGGAACAACGGTTCCAAGCTCAACCAGCCACAATGTAGCACTGAAAATCGGAGATGTTTTTGCATCTACAGGATTATAATCTAAGGAACTGCCTACCCGCTGAACCCGTAAATGCCAAAAAACACAACTGAATTTTAAGGTTCAGCTTGATACAATCATCAAGGACAAATGAAGGGACCATTAACAGGGACCTGTCTTCTTCCTTTTTATCTGAGCTTGATAATACAAATCTAAAAATAAAATAGACGTAAAATAAGACAAAAAATAGTTTACGGTTTATATTTTTCCGTTTTCTCATACTCTTATTATGACCAATTTCTATGAATCAAAAGCTAACGTTAAGAATACTTTGATTCCGCCAAAAGGAATACTTTCATTTAATTTTCATTCATTTCAAGTATTCTTAAATGAATACCTTCATTTCGCAAATAAGTTTCGTCTAACCCTTCACGGGTACGCCGGGGTGCATCCTTCACGGGTACGCCGGGGTGCATCCTTCACGGGTACGCCGGGGTGCATCCTTCACGGGTACGCCGGGGTGCATCCGATCCCTTAATCATCGTCGCCCCTAAATCAACCAACCAACAATAACAACAACAACAACAACAACAACAACTACAACAACAACAACAACAACAACAACTACAACAACAACAACAACTACAACAACAACAACAACTACAACAACAACAACAACAACAACAACTACAACAACAACAACAACTACAACAACAACAACAACTACAACAACAACAACAACTACAACAACAACAACAACAACTACAACAACAACAACAACAACAACAACAACAACTACAACAACCTCAGCAGTAAGATGTTATCACCAGATATGAACACCGAGATTATATACCCTTTTATAAGTGTATATTCTACGTTTAGGTTATCTTCAAGTAGATAGACACAGACAGACCGACACACAGAGGAAGAGAAACACAGATAGACAGTCGACAGACGAGTAGATGGATGGATGGATAGACGAAGAGGTATATAGATATCAATAATAATAATAATAAAGATTTATTTGCAAGAAGGTACAATGAGTTGGTGAGAATACATAAGATTGATATTTTTACATTCATGCAAAATAGATAGATAGTTGGATGGATAGAAAGATGAGTTAGTGCATGGCTAGATAAATAGATAGAAAGCTAAATGGGTAGATAGAAAGTTAGATGGATATATAGTGATGGACAGATGGCTGCACAGATAGATGGATAGAAAAATATATGGTTGGTATATGGATAGATATATAAATACAGACATAGATGAAGGGTAAAGGAAGCTTTTGATAAATGTGACCATGGTGTTATTGCACATAAAATGCGTTCAAAAGGAATTACCGGAAAAATAGGCAGATGGATCTACAATTTCCTGACCAACAGAACCCAATGTGTAATAGTCAACAAAATAAAATCCAGCCCATCAACCGTGAAGAGCTCAGTCCCCCAGGGTACTGTGCTTGCTCCAGTACTTTTTCTCATCCTCATATCGGACATAGACAAGAACACAACCTATAGCACTGTATCATCCTTTGCAGATGACACTAGGATCTTCATGAGAGTAGGCAACATAGAGGACACGGCGAACCTCCAGTCAGATGTAGATCAGGTCTTTCTATGGGCTACAGAAAATAATATGGTGTTTAACGAAGATAAGTTCCAGCTCATGCGCTATGGAAAAAAATGAAAATATAAAAACGGAAACCACGTACAAAACTCAGGCAAATCATAACAGAACGAAAAGGCAATGTAAAGGATCTGGGTGTACTCATGTCGGAAGACCTTACCTTTATACAACACAATAAAGTAGCCGTCACAACTGCAAGAAAAATGACAGGTTGGATAACAAGAACTTTTCACACTAGAGATGCTATACCGATGATGACACTTTTCAAAACGCTTGTGCTCTCTAGAGTGGAGTACTGCTGCACAATGACAGCCCCTTTCAAAGCTGGAGAAATTGCCGACCTGGGGAGCATGCAGAGATCCTATACTGCTAGAATTCACTCAGTAAAACACCTAAACTATTGGGACCGACTAAAGAGCCTAAATCTGTACTCCCTTGAGCGCAGGCGGGAGAGATATATAATAATTTACACGTGGAAAATGTTAGAGGGGCTGGTCCCAAACCTGCACACAGAAATAACATCACATGAGACCAGAAGACATGGCAGGATGTGCAGAATACCCTCGTTGAAAAGCGGAGGTGCAACAGGTACTCTGAGAGAGAACTCTATCAATATCAGAGGCCCGAGACTGTTCAACACGCTTCCACTACACATAAGGGACATAACTGGCCGACCCCTCACAGTGTTCAAGAGAGAACTGGATAAGCACCTCCAAAGGATACCTGATCAACCAGGCTATGACTCATACGTCAGGCTGCGAGCAGCCGCGTCCAACAGCGTGGTTGATCAGTCCAGCAACCAGGAGGCCTGGTCGACGACCGGGCCGCGGGGACGCTAAGCCCCGGAATCACCTCAAGGTAAGGTAAGGGATAGGTAGATGACTAGACGGATGGATAGATTGACAAATAGATGTATAGGTAGATAAATAGATGGATATATGGATGACAAAAATGTTGGATGGATAGATAGATTGATTTTGAAATAGAAGAATGGATAGACGTTAACAGATAGATGAATAGAAAGATGGGTAGATAGATAGATATATACATGGAGGAATAGATGAATTCATGGATGGATATAGCTGAATAGATAGATTGATGAATTGATAGTTGGATAGATGTGACAGATAGATGAACAGAAAGATGGAAAGATTGGTGGATGTATCCATGGAGGAATAGATGAATTGATGGATGGCTATAGATATATAGATTGATAGGTGGATGGATTGATAGATGAATAGGTAGATAAACAGAGATAGGCGAATGGGCAGATGGGAGACAGACTCGGGCAACGCCGGGTCCCCCACTAACGTTATATAAATATATGGATGTTTATGAGTGTGTAAGATATCCACACACGTATGTGGCCAGGACCGTGAGACAGACCGCGTCCAGTACAGGACTAAGATACGCTGTGCACCCACCAAACTAACACTTCTTTAGGTACATTTATATTTTAACAGTTATAATAGGTTAAGTATTATTGAATGTTTTACTAAATTGTATCATTATAAATGTCATAGACATATGCGTAATATTTCTGAATGTAATACTTATGTTACATGTTTATAGAAATATAAAGTGAAGGATAATGGAGTGTTTGGTAAGTGTAGGCGGCCGGCGGAGCTGCGGGTGACGCGCCGTCGCCGCCCCAGACGCCGCCACACAGCCCGTGGTCACACACACACTCTTGTCTTGCTCTCACACTCTACCACTGCACCTCACCAACATGTATTAGGTAAGTGTTCCACTCATAATTGTAGCAAAATGTATTTAATAGCTATTTTTTGTTTTGGTTTTTAAACTACGACTGGGGTTCATAAGGGCTGTCAAATGACGTACCTTGTGAAACTGCAAGCAAGAGCTGTTATCCTACCTCAGCTCATCTGAAGCCTGCTCTTAAAAACTCATTTATTTCATGAGAATGTACTTTAAATCTATCACATAGGGAGCTATCATATATGGAATCTGGCGAAACTGCAAGAGCTGTAATCATACCTCAGCTAAGTTAAACCTACTCCTAGAGGCCCATTTATTTCATGAGTTTGTTATATGCATCAGTAGGAATAGCCTTTATTCATTAACAACATTAGGTAACAATCATATAAGGAACAGGATGAGCCTGTAGCCATCTGTGTACCAGAGCCTTCATGTCATCAGTGGACCTGATCTCCTTTATATCAATTTGTTGAGCGAACAAGTTCCAGATGTGAGTCAGCCTCGGAGTGAATAATCACTGTTGTTGTGATGTTCTTGAGAAAGGCACAACCAGCACGAGACTGTTGAAGGTTGAGTACCTGGTGCTACGGGTGGCAATTACTGGTACTCCGCCGAGTTGGGTCAGGTGCAGAACTTTGAAGATGTTGGACTTGTACATAATAGTAAGACCACCGACATCCTGACGGTGTTGCAGGCTCTGATGCTCAGACCGTTCTCACCAGACTTGGTCAAGACTGGAGATAAGCCTTCTTGGCCGTCTCTCCACTTTGTCCAACAGTTTGATGAATAATGGAGGGGGTGGGGGGACAGGCGATCCAGGAAAGAGCTACATACCCTAGATGGGAGCGAACTTGTGATTCATATAATGTTTTGCATCCCTTGCTGTGTAAGTGTGAGATGCGCAGAAGGACTGTAAGTTTCCTGGCTCTCTTTTGAGCTAGGTTAACCACGTGACTCTTCATTGTCATTGAAGAGTCGAACTTCATTACCAAGATGTCAATTTCATCTGTGAACACCAGGGGTTTTGTCACCCATTTGCGAGCCTCTCCGATTTGCCATGTGCATCATCCCTTGTGCCTTCTCAGCCGCAAATGTGACCTAACATCCCCTACCCCGGGTAGAAATCGCTGAAAGTTGATGATTGATGAGTCTTGCAGCAGTTGGCATTTCTTCCTTTCTGTATGTGAAGGTTAGAGTGCAATCACCAGCAAAGGCCTGAGCTTCGGGAATGACATGAAGTAGATCGTTGAAGTAAACATTGCACAGCAGAGGGACGAAGCACACTACCCTGTGGAACGCTGGCACCAATTGAGTGGCTATCGCATTTTGCTCCTTTGAGGACTACCCTTTGAGTCCGGTCTTTTATTAATTCTAAAATGGAGGCTGAGATGCTTAGTGCTTGAAGCTTCACTACTAATCCAGAGTGCCAGACCCGATCAAAGGCTCCTGTCATGTCTAAAGCAACAACACAGCTGATCTTGGACTCATCCAGTGACTGATGCCACATAGTGGAGAGATTTAGCAAAAGATCGGCCTTTTCTAAAACCATACGATCACATATTAGCCGATGATGATAAAAAAAATATAATTTGCTGAGCGAGTAATGATTTTAGAATTTTGCTACTACTGGAGAGTAGTGACACTGGTCTGTAGTTACCAACCATTGCAGCCTCTTCTCTTTGTGTACTGGAAAACAACTGCCTTCTTCCACAACGAGGGCCACCTTCCTTGAGCCAGGCAGAGTTGGAAGAGGCGCGTGAGAGGTGGAGCCAACAGGTCAGGCATCTTGGCAGTAAAGTAGTTTGCCAGGAGATTAGCCTGCTCTTGATTGTTGGTTGCAACAGTTTCATCCTCTCGGTTTAGAGGCGACATTGTGTTCTCAGATGAGTATTCCTGTCGATCCTTCACCAGGGACCCCCCCCCCCTCCCCACTCTCTCTTGCCCTGCATTTACTAATTTACTATTTGTGCCTGCAGAATATTTGTGCCTGCAGAATATTTGTGCCTGCAGAATATTTGTGCCAGCAGAATATTTGTGCCAGCAGAATATTTGTGCCAGCAGAATATTTGTGCCAGCAGAATATTTGTGCCTGCAGAATAGAGCTATTTGCTCTTGGACCCAATGTATGTGTGTGTGTGTATTCACCTAGTTGTACTTGCAGGGGTTCAGCTTTGCTCTTTCAGGCCGCCTCGCAACTGTCAATCAACTGTTACTAACTACTAACTACTAATTTTTTTCTTCACACACCCCCCAGGAAGCAGCTCCGTAACAATTGTCTAACTCCCAGGCACCTATTTACTGCTAGGTAACAGGGGCATTCAGGGTGAAAGAAACTTTGCCCATTTGTTTCTTCCTGCTCCGGAAATCGAACCCGGGCCACAGAATTACGAATCCTGCGCGCTGTCCACTCAAGTGTGTGTGTGTGTGTGTACTCACCTATTTGTGCTTGCAGGATCGAGCATTGACTCTTGGATCCCACCTTTCCAGCTATCGGTTGTTTACAGCAATGACTCCTGTCCCATTTCCCTATCATATCTAGTTTTAAAAGTATGAATAGTATTTGCTTCCACAACCTGTTCCCCAAGTGCATTCCATTTTTCCACTACTCTCACGCTAAAAGAAAACTTCCTAACATCTCTGTGACTCATCTGAGTTTCCAGTTTCCACCCATGTCCCCTCGTTCTGTTATTATTACGTGTGAACATTTCATCTATTTCCACTCTGTCAATTCCCCTGAGTATTTTATATGTCCCTATCATATCTCCTCTCTCCCTTCTTTTCTCTAGTGTCGTAAGGTTCAGTTCCTTCAGACGCTCTTCATATCCCATCCCTCGTAACTCTGGGACAAGCCTCGTCGCAAACCTCTGAACCTTCTCCAGTTTCTTTATGTGTTTCTTCAGGTGGGGGCTCCATGATGGCGCGGCATACTCTAAGACGGGTCTCACGTAGGCAGTGTAAAGCGCCCTAAAAGCCCCCTCATTTAGGTTTCTGAATGAAGTTCTAATTTTCGCCAGTGTAGAGTACGCTGCTGTCGTTATCCTATTTATATGTGCCTCAGGAGTTAGATTAGGTGTCACATCCACTCCCAGGTCTCTTTCTCGAATCGTTACAGGTAGGCTGTTCCCCTTCATTGTGTACTGTCCCTTTGGTCTCCTGTCACCTGATCCCATTTCCATAACTTTACATTTACTGGTGTTAAACTCCAGTAGCCATTTCTCTGACCATCTCTGCAACCTGTTTAAGTCCTCTTGGAGGATCCTACAATCCTCGTCTGTCACAACTCTTCTCATTAATTTTGCGTCATCCGCAAATCATCCGCATGTGTGTGTGTGTGTGTGTGTGTGTGTGTGTGTGTGTGTGTGTGTGTGTGTGTGTGTGTGTGTATGTGTGTGTGTGTGTGTACTTACCTAGTTGTACTCACCTAGTTGTGCTTGCGGTGAGTGAGCTCTGGCTCTTTGGTCCCGGCTCTCAACCATCAATCAACTGGTGAACGGAATCCTGAGCCTATTTGGCTCTGTCATATCTACATTTGAAACTGTGTATGGAGTCAGCCTCCACCACATCACTCTTTAATGCATTCCACCTGTTAACTACTCTGACACTGAAAAAGCTCTTTCTAACGTCCCTGTGGCTCATTTGGATACTCATTTTCCACCTGTGTCCCCTTGTTCGCGTACCACCCGTGTTAAACAGTTTATCTTTATCTACCCTGTCAATTCCTCTGAGAATTTTGTAGGTAGTTATCAAGTCTCCCCTTACTCCCTTGTCTTCCAGTGTTGTGAGATACATTTCCCGCAGCCTTTCCTCGTAACTCATGCCTCTTAGTTCTGGGACTAGCCTAGTGGCATACCTCTGAACTTTTTCAAGCTTTGTCTTGTGTTTGACAATGTACGGGATTCATTCTGAGGCCGCATACTCCAAGATTGGTCTTACATATGTGGTATACAAGATTCTGAATGATTCCTTACACAGGTTCCTGAAGGCAGTTCTAATGTTAGCCAGGCTCGCATACGCCGCAGATGTTACTCTTTTTATGTGGGCTTCAGGAGACAGGTTTGGTGTGATATCAACTCCTAGATCTTTCGGTGTTTGTTTCATGAAGGACTTCATCTCCCATTCGGTATCCCGTGTTTGGCCTCCTGTTTCCACCGCCTAGTTTCATTACCTTACATTTACTCGTGCTGAACTTTAGTAGCCATTTGTTGGACCATTCATTCAGTTTGTCTAAGTCATCTTGTAGCCTCATACTATCTACCTCCGTCTTAATCCTCCTCATAATTTTTGCATCATCAGCAAATAATGAGAGGAACGATTCTATACCCCTCTGGGAGATCATTTACATATATTAGAAACAGTATAGGTCCAAGGACTAAACCCTTCGGGACTCTACTGGTGACGCCTCGCCAATCTGAGGCCTCACCCCTCACAATGACGCTATTTTCTGTTGCTTAGGTACTCCCTTATCCAATAGAGTACCTTCTCTTTCACTCCCACCTGCATCTGCAGCTTTTTTACTAGTCTCTTGTGTGGTACTTCGTAGAATTCAGTTAATCCTGTGAGGCATAACTTGCCATCCCAGAACCCATGTTGATGTTGTGTCATAAAATTTCTTCGTTCCAGATGTTCCACTAGGTTTTTTTCGCACAATCTTCTGCATCAACTTGCATAGTATACAAGTAAGGGACACTGGCCTGTAGTTCAGTGCCTCCTGTCTATCCCCCTTCATGTATATCGGGACTACATTTGCCGTCTTCCAAATTTGTGGCAGTTCACCTGTTACCAGTGATTTGGTATTCCCCTTGGAGAGTGGCAGGCACAGTGCTTCTGCGCCTTCCTTTAGTATCCATAGTGATATTCCATCCTGGCTTATAGTCTTTGTCACATCCAACTCTAGCAAAAGCTTCCTTACATCCCTACTGGTAATCCCAAACTTCTCTAGTGGTGCCTGGTTAAATATTCCTTCTCTGATCTCTGGAACTTCTCCTTGCTCTAATATGAAGATCTCCTGGAATTTCTTATTCAGTTCCTCTCACACTTCTTTGTCGTTCGTAGAGAATCTGTCTGCCCTTGTCCACAGTTTCATTACCTGTTCCTTCACTGTTGTTTTTATCCTGATGTGGCTGTACAACAATTTAGGTTGAGTCTTTGCCTTACTTGCTATTTCTTTTTCATATTGCTCTCCAGCCTCCCTTCTCACCCTGACGTATTCATTCTTGGCTCTCTGGTATCCTTCTCTGCTCTCAAGTGTCCTGTTATTTCTACTGTTTCTCCATGCTCTTTTACTTAGTTGCTTTATAGCTTACATCTCTGATTAAACTATGGGTTTCTCATCTGAATTTATTTTTTTTCCTTTTTGGATAAACTTGTCTGCTGCCTCCTTACACTTCTGCGTGTATGTGTACTTACCTAGTTGTGCTTGTGGGGGTTGAGCTCCGACTCTTTGGTCCCGCCTCTCAACTGTCAATCAGCTGATGTACAGGAACCTGAGCCAATTGGGCTCCATCATATCTACATTTGAAACTGTGTATGGAGTCAGCCTCCACCACATTTTGTGTGTGTGTGTGTATTCATCTAGTTGTATTCACCTAGTTGTGATTGTGGGGGTTGAGCTCTGCTCTTTCGGCCTGCCTCTGAACTGTCAATCAACTGTTACCAACTACTATTTTTTTCTCCACACTACACTATACACACACACACACACACACACACACACACACACACACACACACACACACACACACACACACACACACACACACACACACACACACACACACACACACACACACACACACACACACACACACACACACACACACACACACACACACACACACACACACACACACACACAACACACACACACACACACACACACACACACACACACACACACACACACACACACACACACACACACACACAAGAATAACACACACACACACACACACACACACACACACACACACACACACACACACACACAAACACACAAACACACAAACACACCCAAACACACCCAAACACACACACACACACACACACACACACACACACACACACACACACACACACACACACACACACACACACACACACACACACACACACACACACTTTCATGAAAGAAACTTTCTAAGTCAACACGTCAAGAGACCGACAAGAATGAGAGGAGGGGATGAACCAGCCTTCCTTGATCTGATATTTACCCTAAATGAGTCGGATATAAGGAAAGTTAAGTTGGAAGCCCCCTTGGGAATGAGTGATCATAGTGTATTGAGCTTTGAGTACCTGGTTGAGCTAGGAATTTTCTCCCCCATAACGAACTGGGAAACACAGGGCTAGCGTACCGAAAGGGAAACTATGAGGAGATGAATAAATTCTTAAGGGATATACCATGGGACACAGAACTCAGAACCAAGTCCGTACAAGACATGATGGACTATGTCACCCAAAAGTGTCAGGTGGCTGTAAGCAGGTATGTCCCAGCCCGACAGGAAAAAATCGAGAAGCAAAAGAAGAATCTGTGGTTTAATAGGGAATGTATGAAAGCAAAGGAGCTGAACAAAAGGGCATTGAGGAACTTCCGTAATAACAGAACACCAGAAAGTAGAGAGAGATACCAGAGAACCAGGAACAAGTATGTTAGTGTGAGAAGACCAGCTGAGAAAAGGTATGAAAATGATATAGCTAATAAAGCCAAGACCGAACCAAAGCTACTACACAGTCACATCAGGAGGAAGACAACAGTGAAGGAACAGGCGATGAAACTTAGGGTGGGTGAGGACAGGTACACAGAGAATGACAAAGAGGTGTGTGAAGAACTCAACAAAAGGTTCCAGGAGGTCTTTACAATAGAACAAGGAGAGGTC